CCGTTGACCACCTAATCTCATATCTCTATGGGACGAAAGACCTGGTAATCTGTTTTGATGGCCAGAAAGAGATAACTACATATACCGCCTGCTTAGACGCTAGCTTTGCTGATAATGCTAACCGTAAAAGCTCTAAAGGTTTTCTCTTTTGCCTGTTTGGTGGCCCTATCGATTGGAAGGCTAGGAAACAAAAGACTGTTACTATATCGACTACAGAAGCTGAATTGCTTGCGCTTAGCCACGCGGCTAAGCAATCCTATTGGATGAGACGCTTATTTAAATTCATCCGATTCGACCCTGGCCACCAGGATGTGATGCAATGCGATAATAAGCAGACGATTGACCTCCTAACAAGAGAGAGATCTATCTTCCAGACCAAGCTTCGACATGTGGATATTCATCAGTTATGGATTCGCCAGGAAGTTCAGGCGAAACGCCTGCGTATTGAATGGCTGAATTCGTCCGACCTGCCTGCTGATGGCCTGACCAAGCCACTTAGCCGCCAGAAACATGAGATCTTTGTGAGACAGATAGGTATGGAGTACTTACCACACGACCTTATGTAGTTGCTTTTATCTCCAGCTCATCAGTCCTCCGATCTGAAGACCTGAGGGGGTGTGTCAGCCTATGTGGGTGTGTGGGGGTATATGCTTATGTGTGTGTGCTTATGTGTTGCCTGAGGGCCCGGCAGCCTGCCGGGCCGGACCATTGTTTTTCCCCTGCAGAAAGCCCCTCTATATGCATCTCTTCAACAGAGATATCGACCATGGCCTAATTGGCTATTTGACTAAGGATCCCGACGTCCTTTCTACACATTTCTATCCTGCATTAAGATCTATTAGATTATTAGATCTCTGCCCTATTTCCTTGCTGCCTAAACCACTGCAAATCGTGTATTTAAACGCTCGTTTACACCACTGTTTAGCCAGCAGTTCAATCGACTTTATTGTTCTTAAGACATTCTTTCCTTTCCTAGACAGTAGGATCCTATGACCAAGAGGAAGCTACTGCCTAGTCCCCTTTCGTCCTATGTGGATCAGCCCCCGATACACTAGGATCTGTCATAGGCTTCTTAATGTATTTAGGTATACTAGGCTCTAGATTTTTCCTATCGCGCCTTTAGATATAGCTAATTTCTGGGGTACCTAATATCTCAATAAACTTCTCTTCGGTTATATTGTCCACTCTAGGCATAGTGAAGGCTAAATTGCGGGTGTGTAAATCTATATTAGATAAGAACGGTTGTCAGCCTATGTGAGCGTGTGTGGCTATATGAAGTTGGTTGACCGTGCGGCCCGCTAGGCCAACGGCCCGGACCGGACCATCGTTTTTCCTATCCTTTCTCCTGGGAAAAGCCATATCTCTTCAACAGAGAGTTTTATATGAGAAATCGGCCAATCTAGCCACGGATACTAACATCTAATAACTTCCTAATGCATCGATTCATCAGATCATCGATATATGATCGGATTATCGATTAGATCAACGATTTGGTCTAGATTCAACTGTCTAAACTGTCCCAATCGTGTATTTAAACACCCATTCGTTCATTAGTTTAGCAGTTCAGATTCAATAACTTTTCAGATTCAATATTATCAGAGAAGATTCAATATCCTCACAGATTCAATACACTCTCTTTGATCTATCTTATTGATCTCGTTTGACCTTTTCATACTCGAAGAAGATCTTATGCATCGAAGGACCCTTAACGATCTGTGGTCCCAGGAGAAGAAGAACTTCTATCTTGATTGGTCATCCTAAGGTTCTATGTGGATCCAGTCCTCTCGGATCCGATCGGATACACTAGAACTTCCCGACAACGGTTCAAAGTACTAATAAGAAAATGATTTACCTCTATATCCTATATTTTATTAATATAAAATATTAAGCCCGATAAGACTTTATTTAGTAATGATTTTAGCGAGCCTTCCAGGAAGTCTACCACTAGGAAAGTGTGTATTAATTACGTCCGGGATATTAGGCCCTAGAAGCTCATAAACTAGGTTTTTATAAGATCCGTTTGGGCCTTTTAGATCGAAGTCATCTAGTATATGCACCGTATATTTCAGAGAGGGGTGATAAGACGCTAACTCTCTCATTATTTAGAGCCCTCGCGCCTCCCTATTATATTCCGTTTCTGTAACAGAAATCTTAATAGCAATATAAGATTCTTCTCTATAAGTAGATAGCATTTTAGTTAGCTAGCACTACTACTCGGTATTCGATTTTGTACAACCTTTAATCTCTCGCCGCCCAAACCGTGGAGTAGCCTCCCTATCCTAGTTTATACAGCACTATATACCTTCCAGCTTTAAGGGATTCCCCCAAAGTAACTAGATGATAACCGCCTTATTGGTAGTGATTAAGTGGCTCCGCTGTTACGCGTAGCCGACTGGTCACGGTGAGTAAGTGCAGAAAGGGCAATAGTTACCTAAGTCGTTGTTGTGATCGGGTACAATAACGATATATGCTGTCACGGCTGATTCCGGCCCTCTCGGCACAACTTCGAATTCCAAGAGTATCTCTCAATCGTACCGTTGCCTCGCAAGGCCTTACTGCGGGATAGATCCTGTTGAGTATCTTGCAGAACGTGCCAGAAGTGCGCGCCAAGTAAGTCAATCACTAAGTATTACTACTAAGTGAATCCCCTACTTATAGGTTGGGTTGTCTTAAAGGTGAACTGTGAAGTGCAAAGTACTAAAGGTAGTAACCAAGTAACAATATATAATTGATCGCGAAGAACTAAATACATAATGCCAAATGAGTGTCCTTATATATCCAGTTCTTCCTATCACTGATGAGTCCATCCTATCGCTAATAGGATGTGGTCACGTGGTTTACCGTGTTCTTGCATTTAGGGTGTAGTCTAGGTGCGGGTAAGAAAGCTGCCGTTTCCTGCTTCGCGCTAACCGTCCCATAGAGTAAGCGGGTATTAATTGTGACGGTTAGCCGTAGGCCGATTCTAGCTCCTGCCCTGAACCCTTCTGCTTGGTGCCCCCCGGGGCCTACCCAAGTATACCGAAACGCACGTAACGACGCTAATCCTTAGCGTCCGTGGAATGATTGGCTCACGGTTGCTACTCAAATAGCTGCGGCCCCCGCGCCTCTTTGAGGCCCGTAACATCCGCGTCGACCGGAGACGTATAAATAGGCTGCTCTATCTAACCCTTACCTAGATAGGTAGCAATAGACTTAGAAAAAATTCGAAGTCTCAAGATGCTCCTCAAGGGCGAAGTACGTGTCGATAATACTCGAGCGGTTTTCATTGGGTTATCGAGTCGGCTTCCGTGTACTATCGGAGTGTCATCATCAGTCCTTAGAGTGATCGAGCGTGCTACGCGCCTAGAGATATATCACGTGGCAAGAGCTTGGCAGCAATACCTAATCATATAATCTGGGAAAGCGCCCAGTACTCTTGTTATGATATTTCGATGAGACTATTCACACACTGATATTGGGGCCTCAGGCATGCGTGGACCGAGGGTTCTGCCAAGGCGGTAGCCATCCGGCGGTCAGTCGGTGGCCCCTCGGCCGCGATACGCGACAGCCACGCTGCATGCAGGCCGCACCCACAGTATGTGCCATGCGTTGGCCATGCGGTGGCCTTTCGCCATGGTGTCCCCCACACTTCGTGTTTGATTCCTGTTTGCACAAAAGATGATGTATTTAAACAGATGCTTAAGGAAGTGGGATTCATCTTCCTTAAGAAACAGTCTTTGTCTCAATCTGACTTGGTGCTTTCCTCTCCTACCTAGTTGACAGGCCATCTACCCTGTAAAGTAGATACTTCCTTAACAACTCTGGAGCGGCTAGTGATTGGTCAGTAGCGCACGACCAAAATAGTTAACTTGTTACGCTCAGGTACGAGAGGAAGATATTCAACCAATGTAGTAGCATTAAACGAGATAATTAAGCATGGGGAAGGAAGAAGGGAAGAAGTGAGATGAGGAAGATGGTGATTGATATATCTGGTGGATGCCTGATGCACCAGGCATCAACAAAACATATGCATCTTTTCACCTGTATTCACCATCTTTCATGCATCACACATATGAATTATAACATAACTCAATGAAACGGGCGCTTACGTACTCTCAAAAAGACCATATTAAGTTAACTAGTTAACTAACTTACTGACTGTGACGGATCACATGTGGTGATGCTTGATGCCTGGTGTTGATGCCTGCTGCCGCAGGCATCCCTCATGTATTTAGATCGTCTCTCGTCCTCTCACTTCTCTCCTTCTCTCCTTTCCCCATGCTTAGTTGTTTCGTCAATGCTACCATGTTGGTTTCTTGTATCTTCATGCCTGAGCGTAACACTGACTTATTAATTGGACCACAATGCCAGAAACCCTACGCAGGAAGAATATATAAATCTGTGCCATATTGCTCTCTGAGAAGACGTATCTTGATAATGTTCTACAGACCCTATATGAAATTTGGAGATAATCATGTCTCCTATTCCCGAATCCCCGGCATGCTGTGAAGCTCACCCAAAGGATTCGCAGCCCTACTTTGCGCAATCTCACCCTCAGTCTTATCGAAGACGCTTCTCAGAAACCTGACCTAGCGCACTTCACCATCGCCATCCTCAAGTAAGCCACTATAGATACTGTGGGATCAGGGTTGCAGTATCTCACAAGTCTTAATCTTACAGAAACCCATCGCACACGAGCCATACCGACCTCAAACCGCACGCCACAGCATTGTTTGCAACCGAGGAACAATTCAAAAACAACAAGGCTCAAACGGCTCATATCTACCATGATGAAAAAGGGCAATATACTGGCCATGTTATGTATCAGGAAAGAGAAAACAAATCGACGGATGATTGAAGCATTCCGAGTTATGCTTGGAACATTGGCTACCGCTTTGTGTTTAGATTGAGAAGTACAATTCCTATGAGAAATCGAACTTTCCCATCTTGATATAGGAGAGTCATAAGCGGTTTTCCGTTCGGTAAAATTTGCAAATTGAAGAATTTGCAAACGAGTAGAACTCAGCTACCAGCAGGTCCAGTCACTGAACATGTCGGAATAATCTCTTCCAGGATGATACACCCATTAATTCATTAGACGATTGAGCTGATACTGCACAAAGGCATAGCACTGACACAGTTTATATTGACACCATTTATATCTCAATCAGCTGCCCGTCTCTCTAAACGTACTATTAACCCGGATTGCTTCCAAAACCAGGATGCATGGGTTTGCCACTCAGGCAAAGGTGATGCCCATGAAATTTTGAAATGGCGCAGTAGCTGTGGTACAAATTTTCCCATCTCCATTATAGATATATTTTTGCCGATGCACGTCCGCGCGCCATGCCCAAACTAGAGTTTAAGAGGAATCAGTCAAAGTTCATAGGAACAAGTGCTGGGATAATTGGCTCACCGATAGGAAATACCGATCCATAGCCTTTAGCGCCTCTGGTGATGCCTCAAGCCATCGTTCAGGTCGGAAGCCATCGGCATCTTCGCCATAGATATCTTTGATCTGATGGATAACGGGGGCGCAGATGCTGACGTTTGTTCCCTCGGGTAATCTATGGCCGCAAATCTCTGCACTTGGAGGAGGTACATACCTCTCCAGCGGAAATCCGACGCCTGGATGTAGTCTCATTGCTTCTTTCATTGTTGCTTGTCTAGCATATACTGTGTTAGACAGCAACCACGCTCTTGCCTGGATAAGGGAGTTAACCTTACAAGTATGGCAATTTCAAGCATTCCTCATATGTGATAAACTTCGAAAGCTGGCCTTGTCAGTCTGCCTCGTCTATTTCGCGTTGAATCTTGTCGTATACTTGAGGAGTTTGAACTATGTAATAGATCATAGCACGTAGGGAAATTGCAGTGGTGTCACTCCCAGCGAGACTACGAGCAGAGGCATAATCAGTACCTTGAATAGTAGCCGCTTTGGAAATGAATACAACTCACAGGTTGTTAGATAGGTGATTCATCATGTCCCTGTGGGAAATTTTGCCGGAACGTTCCTCTTTTTCTCTCAATTGGGCAAGGAAATCTTTTCGTCCAGCTTTCCTATTCTCAGCGCTGTTCTCATATCGACCAATTTCCTCTTCTGTGATCTTAAATCAACCACATCAATTGCTCATGTTAGCATTGAGATCCAATAAAACACACCCCCGGGCGACAAGCTCTGCACTCTCACCTTCATGAACCGGCCCAATGTATCCGGCAGCAAATTCAGCCGCTGAAAGTGCCTGTTCAGCGAAGCACCGCGCAATAACGGAATCAAAAGCGGCAACTGGCCAATTATCTTCACGTATTGTAGGCCGATATCGATTTTACCAATCATACCATCGACATCACGTCTCTGCTCCATAAACCCGAAACGTCTCTGGAATGTGATAGCAGAAATTACATCGAAAGCATACCACTGGAGCCAGTTTGAAAAGTCAAGTGATTGACCTTCGAGAGTGAGCATCGCGTCCATGAATATTTGGGTGCATTCGTCTGCGTAGACCTCGAAATTTTTCATATTGGTCATTGAAAAGATCTGGGACACGGAACTCTTGAGATGCTTATGATAAACGGGGTCACGGGTAGTGAACATGCTGTCCATAATTTCGCCCTGATAAACGGGTGCCATTGTGGCATAGAACGGGGTCTTCCAGATGGAACACATTTAGTATGCGGACCGCGGAATAAAAATACTGATGTACTACTTACTTTGGTAAACTTGCTCCCTATCCCGTATATAACGGATATCATGTTCGGATCCGCGACAGAGACCTCATTGGGTCCGACTCTCACTATGGGCCCGTATTTTTGGTGAATTTTCTGATAATTAGCAGGAGCATCGCCATTATAGACCATCAGAAGTCGATATAGATAGGTAAATCGAGCGAGCACTGGCCCAGGGAGCGTTCTGAGGCCCTGACGAAGAGACACTCGGACGTAGTCTGCAATCAGGAGAGCTATAAGCCCGACAGCAAGGACGTCGAGACCTGGAACAAGGCCTTGAAACATTGCGACCGGACAATTTGGTGTTGGGCAGATAAATAAATGAAGTGATTGTAAGGGGAAGCTCTGGTAGACAATTTATGGGATGATTGTAGGGTTTTATATAACTATGTGAATCCCGTTCTACGAGACACGGCACTGTTGGATGAAGTCATGGATCATTTTCTTTACGGAGAGTCTCCCTCAGCTACTCACACTCAACATTTCGTAAACCACGTGACTGCACTATGACAAAGCAGCCTGGTGGCAGCAAACCATGCTCCTTGGTGGATCCGCCGCGGAGGAACCTTGGAAATAGTGAGAACGTGGCTGTTTTACGGCGACCAACGATGTGACGCATGAAGACAGCGGCGATTGTCAGCCAGAATTTACACTAGTAGCCTCAGTTCAGTCGTTTGCGTCTGATAACGGTGCTTGACACTTAATGTATCCAGCCTTGGTGGGCTTATAGGGTCTATTCACATTCAGATATGATAAGTCCATATATTGTAGATAAAAACTGCTTCTTCCTGTTACGATCGTGAGGGTCTGAAGCCCTCGGAAGTCAACTGGCGAGCGGTTGTTTGTGTGCATGCGCGAATATGGAACTTTCCAGGAAGAAGGAGAGTGACTACAAAAGCGATTTCGCCTGGCGGACAGAACTTTCTTCTTCTTCTCTCTAGACTTAGTTTCTTCGTTGGAATGCACCAGAATTGACGATTTCGTTTCCTTTCTGACTGGCTCGTGATACTTACTACAAGATGGCAACTTGACGGATATTGCAGGCAAGGGCTGCGGTAATCAAATCCATCGCTTTGGAGATAACAAGGCCAAGTAGATAGATATATTATTGGGCGGGATGTGATGCGAGAACAATGGAACTAGAAATAGTATACATATCATCGCAGAATCAACGCTCCTCCCCTCGCAGGAACTTGGGAGCCTTATACGTCAGAAAGTCCCTGCCCTTGAAGAACCACACCAGGCAACCAAACAGCGTCCAGCCCCCGATGTGTCCCGTCCCCGTGGACTGCCCCACGGGGACGACCATCATCTTCTTCTGCGCGTCTGCCGAGTACGTTCTAACTTGGCCCCTTTTCTCAATCGCCTCCACAATGTTCGCTACCACGGTCTCTGCCTGAAGAGGCACTCGCGAGAGCAGTCGATACGGATGGCAAACAATGTCCCCGAGAGCGTAGGTATCGGTCCGGCTGACCCGGTTCTCTAGGACACGAAGTTGGCCGTCAACATTGACCCAGCCCTGCGCATTCAAGAAGCTCTTTGGGATATAGGCGTTGTTTGGAATGGTGCCTGTTGTGGCGATATAGGCATCTACGGTAAACAAGCGCCCACTGGACAGCTCCACCTTCCAGGTCTGGGTGTTAGCTTCGTACGCCGCATTGACGACTGTGGTCCCGGTCAGGACATCGACATTCCGCTGGTGAAGGAGCAATGACGCCGCTTTCTGCACAGGGGTAGTCGCCCCCTCCAACAGCTCGCGGCTCCGGGACACCAAGGTGACCTTCTTGGGACCCGCGACCTCGGCCAGTTCCCCGGCGAGTTCGACCCCGAGGGGCCCCGCGCCACCGATGAGGATCTGCCTTGCGGCGCGCAGCTTCTCCTGCGCCTCGCGAATTACCTTCCTTGTATCCTCAAAGGCAGTCGACTTGAATGGAAGCCGCACCCCTGATTGACCCATAGTCGCGGGGGTCGTACTGCCAGAGGCAATCACGAGGTAATCGAAGCCGAACGAGGTCTCAGTCGGCGGAGGAGGAGTAGTAGTAGTGGTAGTCGCAGCAGAATTTGCAGCCACGGTGACGGTGACGGACTTGGTCGCGTAGTCGATATTGGTCACCAGGCCTTTGACAAAAGAGAATCTGTCCGCTGGGTAGTCGTGGAATGCACCGGGAATCGAGTATAGGTACTTGCTTTGTGGCAGGCTCTCGGGCTTGACGAGGAAGCGCGGTGCGGCGATGTTGAAGTAGTATTCATCTGAAGGGTTGATCAGGGTGATCTTTGCTCGCGTGCTCTGCCGGAGGAGCTTGTGGCTTACTGCGAGGCCTGCGTGCGAGCCGCCGACGACTACCACGGAGACGAGTTTGGACATGGTGAATAATGATAAGACGGTGACTGCTTGCAGTTGTCTCGGGTGATGGGTGTGTTGAGAGCACCGCAGGCACAGGAAATTTGATTCTGGGGGTTTCACGAGCTGGGAATGGCCACATGGAGGACAAGCATTAAAAATGGGCAGCCAGCTTACTTACAACATAGTAGTAGTATATTATTCAAGTCTCCGGGGTGGAACTGCTAATGACCGTTGGGTGGCAACTTGATCTCGGGACAACTCGTTCGGAGGATCTTCAGAACCCCATTCCGTGAAGAGTCTGCATAGGCTCCAGCCTCGGTATTCGGTTTACTCGGCAGGTAGAGGGACGCGATAGTAGTGCTCCTAGTGTTTGCATTGGCTACACAGTCGGGTGCTTCTGAATACCAATGTTCGTCCGCGGAATAACTATCGGGTCAATTACGGGTCACGGTCAGCCAATAGACTAGACTTCCGCTGTGGGGTGATGATACTTTAATATTGTGTAGTGCCAAAGAAAGACCGAGGGCTAGACCAGAAGGTCCATCTCCTACAATGGCCACATCGACATTGACTGGAGGCATAGAATTATCGAAAATTTGGAAGGGGGCGGGGGGAACTGGGCACGTTGGACCGATAGAAAGTAAGTGAAATTCGGACAGAAACTGACCAAGATTTTCAGAATTCTACTCTTCTTATTAGTTGAGGGTGTCCACTTCCCAAGAGCCGAGTCCGAAGGCGGGCAGAGAAACCTATGTTGTCGACTGACTGCCGACGTTGTGCCGCGGAGTGTCTTGCTTCCCGCGCCGGAGGAAACTGAGTTCTTCCGACCACCACATTTGATAACGACAGGGCGACTTGACTTGAGAGAAATATAAAACATTGCCGTGACACTTGCAAGATCACATCCCCACCCAAAGCACACGAAAACACACAGATCAAGCACAAGACAAGAAAAGAAGACCGCATAACCTCGTTCTTTTACTGCCATTAGCAGTATCACAGAAGGGCAGGGATTAGCCACACACGAGACACAAAGGCCGGCCAAAGTGATACCACGCGAGCAATATCCCTTTTCATTCTTGACGTTATTGCCTGCCTACCCAAGTCCTAGACTTGACTAGATACTCCCACCGGCCTCATTCCCACTGTAACCCACGACCCATCCAAAGGACAACTCTCTCGCATCACACACATCTACTTCGAACACAAGGATCTTGACAAATCCGACAGGTTCGCCAAGGGCTTCGGTTTCGTGAAGGCCGAGCAGAAAGGCAACACTATCTACTATCGCAGGTACGGCAAGGACCCATATGTCTACGTCGCCTCGTAGAGCGCGACGGGTCAATCATCCAGGTTTATGGGCGGCGCGTAGGTAGCCAAGGACGACGCTAATTTTCAGAAAGCGTTGGCTTTGCCTGGCGCTGTCCTTAAGGAACTTGACGAAGCTCCAGGAGGGGGAAAGATGATTACTTTCCCCCAACCGAACGGGTCATTCTTTTATATCGTGTTCGGACAGGAGGAGCGTAGCATTAACACTGAATCCAAAGAGCTTACGTCGGCCACGCACGTCTTCTAAGGACTATACAATACCCCCTTCGAAATAAAGCTACTCGGACAGTTACAGCGGTACCGTGATGGTCCCGCGCTGGTCCACAAACTCGGGCATTATGGTTACGTGTGTCGTGAATTCGACATGTAACTGAACTTCTACACGTCTAATTTCAACTTTGTGCATTCAGACATTCTCAATCTCCCACAATTCCTATATGTCGACGTTCTGACCTTTATGCACCTCGACCTTGGACCTGAATTCTCCGACTATCATAGTCCGTTCCTCCAGCGGGCACCTCCGAACGTCCGCACAATATACCTTCACCACAGCTCGTTTGAGGTCGCCGATTTTAATGAGCAGCTAACGGGTCATTAATACCTCGCAAAGAAGAGCTGGAAGGCTGTCTGGGGCTGGGGCGTTATATCCTGGGTAGCCAGATTTTTGACTACTGGTACGACAGCAGTGGCTTTAAGATTGAGCACTATGCAGACGGGGACGTCGTTAACCAAGACAATCCAACAAGGAGAGAACATGTGGGTCGTTGTCTTTATGGGGTCCAGAGGTGCCAAGGGACTTTGGCAGTAATAAAGCCACATAAGAAACGTTAACGCTGATTGCGGAAATCCGGCGTAATCGTGCATGGTCGTTTCGTCTGGCTCCAATGACAGTCACATGATATGACTGACTGACCGCCTCCGGATCACTCCCGTCTTGGCCCACATGTGACCCACATAAGAGCCTCACCCTCTACTTTAGGCTTTGGTCCACCTTCCAAGCGACTCTCTCCCGCCCCAACACCCACAATGACATCCTCCTTGCCCTGGTTCCGCAAGGGCACCGACCCTGGGACTATTATTACCCTTGATAAACCCCTCTCTTCCCGGTGGAAAATTCTTGAAAAGCTGAATGAGCATGAAGATCAGGCATGACCCTCTCGTCCCATTCCAGGATCGTCGAGAATCTGAACGAGCATGACTCGTAGGCTACAGTGGAGCAAAATAAGGCATATGGCTCTCGTTCGTTTGCCTCAGCCAAATTTCTATGTTGTGATCCTCAACGACGTACACCGAACGCCTTTATGCGAGTCTACTTTCAAATTCCCCATCGAAGAACTGAAATGGATAATGCGGACACTAGAGGCCAACAAGCCATATCATGGATCCCGCAAGAACTGGCTTCCCTACTCGATCTAACCGAAAAGGGCTCATGTATCACACCAAAGCTCCTCGGATACAAGACTGGTACTCATGATCGCTCAGGGCTAGTTCCGGGTGGGTTCATCATATGGCTTGTTTGGGAAATTGTTCCGGGGCTACGCCTTGGCGATCATAACGGCGCTGGTCCATTTTGGAGTCTTGAAAGCGATGAAAGAGAGCGAGTCCGTCTAACCTTTCTTAAGGCTCTTGTGTAAGTTCGATATTCCTTTTATCTCCATCACTGAATCTAATTGTTATGATATTTCTAGCAAGCTGAAGGAGCATGGGTGGTACCCGACCGTTCCTAGGGCAAGAAGTCTGGTCTGGCACCAAGAGACTCAAACACTGTATGTGAACCACGTTATCTTGGCTTACTTACTTACTGATTCAATATAGCTATTTCATCGGTCGCTTCAGCGTTGGCGTAGAGGGGCAACCCCGACGTTCGGCCGAGCCTGCCCAACGGTTCGCGACTTTTGAGCTTGCATTACCGGACGCTCCAGTCAGATGGAAACACTGGGATAAGGATACCTCACGCTGGAAATGGTAGTGGATCCTAGCATTCTCGCAATGGTTTCTTGAACCTCTCCCTATCAGATTGCCAGGCCTGGAAGCCAAGTGTAAAGGGGTTGTGCGTCTGTGCTGACTCTCAGTGCTTGATAAGTAAATGAATAGTCAAATGAATGCGTGTTCTTGAAAGCAGTGCTCTGACAAGGCGGTATTCCAATCAAGACTGGTTTTTTTTTTTTTTTTTTGGTTGGGGAGGGAGCTTTTCAGCTTCGTTTTAACTACGGTTTTGCTGCTGTCAGAGCTCAATTTGGTATTCTGGTACAAGTTGGTTTTTTCCATAACGCTAGGTGCAACACGGACACACCCAAACAAAATACCATTTATCTTTCAGACACCATCAAATTACTATTCTTTTAACCTTATTTCTCCAACACTTATGCCCGTCTGCTGGCACCTCATGGTGTGGTGTGCAGAAGGTTACGCAGATCCAGGATACATCTTCGACCTCGGGAATCTACCTACCACACTACCACCCGAGGTTGTCAGACCTGCCCTATTGACGCAACCCCGGCCGCAACATATTGGAAAAGGTATTGCTGCGTGCTCAATAGAAAGCAGATCCTTATCGATTTCCGATTTTCATAGTAGCCAAACTTGGCCACGCGTCCATTGGATACGGCGTAAGTGCTTGATGGAGTATTCTCGCACTTGGCACGGTCTCTAATTATGTTATTTTTGGCAGATTCAAGGGAGCCTAGGAATTCTAAGAAACTTACTTTGGACAACTATGGAATGGATGAGGGTAAGTCTATTTATGTTGTTCTGGTAGCGCGCTGGCGTTTCTCTTTCGTTGTTCTGAGCATATCCTCGAGGACAAGATGGGAGTGGAAGGACTGATCTTGACGAGCAAACAAAGAAACCCTAGACGCCTGCCTCACTAGGGGCTAATTCTGTAAGCCGATTGGATGCTAGTATTTGGATCACACCGGCCTATTCTAGGCTTAACCCGAAGCTGTATGTTCCCGTCTGTTGGTAAAAGTCCATACTGTTTGGTCTCGACCGCATCGATTGATCAAATCGACAGGCTACGCCGACAGGAAATGGCAACTCTGTAGTGATTAATAACTAGGTGTGGTGATTAAAGAGCTGAAAATAATATGACTTCATGACCGGATCAAGAAAGTAGACGCTGTTAGGGTTTGTTCTGTGATTGCATCACGCGTAGAGCATAGTAGGTGTGCTTTGCAGGCATGAGTGCCGCGTTCGCCAATAATGTGTCGGCTGTGTCCGTTACCCTATATTGAACATAATCTCTCGTGGAGCGAGGGCATATCAGGACTAATTTCATTTCGTTGCTAAGATATTGAGGTCCCTAGGAACAGCGATCGCAACGATTCAATCAGTCGTCCCCTTGCTTGGCACTGGTATACCATGTAATAGATTGCACCGCTCGTAGCAGCTAGATCCCTTTGCTTAACACGCCCTTATCCCGCAATGGGAAAAGTGCAATTTCCATTGCGTATTTGTTACGCACGTGATCAGAAGGATGCGACAAGGACGATGCTGTTTAAACTCGGTAAACGTCCTGGTTACAGCAATGCTCTGTATGCCGCCTATAGGATAGGCGATCGTGAGATTGTCAAACTACTCCGAGGAAGGGGCGCCACTATACCCTCTTCTAAGCGGTCTAACTGTAGGCCTCTAAACAACCATACGGAAAACCTCCGTCTCATGGACTCTGGACCTTTTGGTTAAATTCTGAAAAAAACGTTCCCTAGCCTACACCAAAGTGTGTAGCTACTACCTATCTTCCAGCCCAAATAAGAGCCAACTCGCAGCCAGCAAAAGTCTCCATACACAGACCGGACAAGCACCCAATAAGTAGAGGACCGGCCAGCCTATAGTTAATTACGGACGTTAGCGAATCAAAATCTACTGATTCCTTGTAGGAGACAATACAAGAACCTAAGACCCAATAGACGTTTGCAAAAGCGTGTATCCTTTCACTGGATAATAAGCCCCTAGGCCCTTCACATCTGGGAGTTTAAATCAGCAGTTGATCCAATTTCAATTCGTCAAGTATCCCATGCATTAATAAGAGGGCTCCTCGATTATGTTTATTACCATGGGAACGAGCCCTTCGCCCCTACAGCTCTGCTATGGTCGGAGTATTAACAGCGTCCCTTAAAACAGAGACAACCAAGAAGAGGCGGTTATACTCGCCATGGTGAATCTATTTTCCGTGATTAGCTCTGATCAGGGTCAGGTAAAGACCGCTATCCACGTACGAACAGGTACACTGGTTAAAAAAAACGGATCGGATCACATATTATCCTTCTATAGAGCCTAAGCGATCACGGGCACCCGTTAAGACTAGATACAGACACATATAAACCCAAACAAGAGGCGACTAGCAGCCTACAAAAGTCTCTGAATAATTATCTAACCCCCATCCCGGTGACATGAAATGCCCTACGTGGTGAAACACCCGCGAGGTACTTGGCATATCCAGCATGTTTATCCTCTAACAACCAGTCAATTATTATTTGTGGATAGAGGATACATCAATTAGATGATTTTTAGTATCACTGCTTTTGCAAAAGAAAGTAAATACGAGGTCCCAATGCTAAAGTACAAGACATAATATATTACCAGGAAACCTATAGTGGACGACTAGGACGCCAAGACCACCCACCATAGCATCAGAGATAAGTATGAAGGATTATCCTACGTGAGTATAATATTACGATCGCGGCCATCATCTTTTCAGGCCATCAAAACGATGTGAGTTACGACAATATTAAGTTAAGCGAAACTCTTAGCAGCGGAGACGTACCAAGATCACAAATTCATGAAGTTAAATACACGGGGAAATAACAATGGTGTAAATTCGTGTATGAAACATACTACGGCCGCTGTATATAGAAGTAGACCCACAGCAAGTACACACACATAATTTCATGAAGCTGAATGTAAGTTGACAAGTGCTTTCGGGTTGGTCATATTCTAACAAATTGACAGCTATCTCCGTCCGACAAGGATGCGACAATGGTTTCGAGATGTGTCAATATGTTTCGCTTTCCAACCGTTCCTTACTATGTGAGCGTCAAGAAGAAGGATATGGTTTCCCATTTAGAAAGCAGCGGGTGAGGATCTCCTCTGATTGGTGGAAAAGCAGCAAGTTAAACATCACATGCACCGCAGTTTGTCTACTTGAAGTTGTCCAGTCAACAGAATTAGAATATACATACCTGCCTGTCGGGGCTCCCAACTTTCAGTGCCACAGCCTTCGGTGTCGTCTCGAAATTCTTTATATTGTTCATAAAATTCTGGATAGTAGTGTTACAGGCCAGGCAAAGAGAAAGAATCAATTCGGTGCCATTCACGAAGCAACTAAATCTAGAGGAGAAAACAAGAAGTTCTATCTATCGCGTGGAAACCTTTTTGTTATGGGCAAAAGGAATTTTCCACCAAGCACCAAACGCCAGTTGGCTATTCGACCCTTCCGCTCCAGTCCATCCTCGATCGCCCCAAGTAGCGCACGTTTACTCTCGAGAGCGATGATCCCGAATTTCATCCGCTGTGCACTGAATAGCACGTACCTTGACGCTATGGAAAAAAAATCTAGCAGCATGCAGCGACAGCATCAACATGATAACAGCACGTAACAGCGAGTCGACCTATTGGACAATGAGGAAGATAGCTGCTAAAAAAGACGCCAAGAGAGCTGACAGCCCGACGTTTATAAAACAAGCGTCATAAAGTAGATCAACATTTTAATTCCCAAAGATTGCTAAATAGCAAGAATCAGGAAAGGAATTCGCACTCGTCGCCCGACACGCAGTGGAGTGTTGTCCCACGCGAGAGTCAGGACTGTCAAGCGATTGCTAGATTCTTCTTCGATGTGGAAGTTTTCCATGATGTTCTGTCCCATGGCCTGGATTTCGGGAACATCACCATGGTTGATGACACCCTTGCAGTGAACACCATAGATTCGGGAGAGGATTTTGTCACCTTCGGGGATGTTATCGCGGGCATAGTACCATCTAGGGGCATCAGGGAGGAATATAATTGATACACCCGAGAGATTAGCAAATGTAGTTTGAAAGGCTACCGGAATGCGCTGTAAAGGTGTCAGTTATGATCCAAAGGATCGGAAGTGAATGGGTTATCTACCAACCCAAGAGATCTGGTTCGTCATGCGAGTGAACCCGAATGTTATCAAGTAGGATAGGGTAACGCCAAATAGTAAACATGAGCAGTTGATTGCAACTTCAAGACCACGCTCTCGGTCTCCGATACTCATTTCAGACTGCGTGAAGTTAGTTGGAATTAAACAAAGAAGCCCATTGAGTACACACCATGTACATTGGAACATTGCAGGTAGTAAACTGGAAAATGATTAGATAACGCCACATCGCAACTAGTTCGCCTCGACTTACTGCAATACCGAATCCTTGTTCACTCATTAGCTCAGACACCAGAAAGGCAACTTCAGTAACCACACAACTTACGCAAAGAACTCGAGCGACAATGATCTGAGGGCCCGAGAAGGACGCAGCTTGTACAACCCCACCAACCGCAATAAACACATTACCAATAATAATGTACCTACGACGACCAAGAGTCATTCCGATAAGCATAACGACATTTGAAATGAATGCCGCCGCCAGTGTATACAAAGACGCACTCATGGGAATTGTCTCCGTTCCGGTAGGATTCTAGTAAAGTAAGATACTAATCTCTATAAGAGCAGGTAATGGAGTCTCACCCCTGTAGCATTGAATACTAGTTTCGTATCTTGTACGCCACCGAGGACTCCAGCTTGGTAGCCCTCGATTAGGAATCCAAATCGAGTTGGTGAGCAATGTATCGAATTCATTGTACCGGGATGCACAATTATACCACAGAGCAACTGAGCCGGGAAACGGCACAATTCCTTACTTTGGATACACTCATCGAACATGGTAAGTCATATGCAATCATTAATCAAAATACGGAATTCCATGAACGCCTAATCAATGCACGTGTAGGTATCTCTCGGTCCCGGCCTGCCTTTAAAGAATTCCCCCTCGCAGCACATCAATGGGGGGACCAAATTCTTCAGGGCTTGACACTCCACGGAACCTAATTCACTGATCCAATGAGGCTACAGTGATTGAAATTCTAGATAAGGTGATCTGATTGGTAATTTTAAGGCTCGGGGGGTTGTTCTGGTGGCCGGTTCCGATCCGGGGTATTGTTTTGGTGTGGGGTAGCGGGGAATTTAGTGAGTCTAGAATGTGCTTTACAATGCAAGATTTTGGGGTGAGAGTTCGGGGAGAGTCCTGGCTCGATTAATTCCTTGATATATGCTTGAACAGAAATCTTCCGTGATGTGGATATCGACATATTTGGGTGTGGTTGGCTTGAGTGATAGAATATCAAAATGGTACTGTCGGAGAGCGAGCGGGTGGGTGAGAATTATAGAGGGCACAAAGTGAAGATAAGAAGATAAATGCTGGTGGGATTGATCAAATTAACTTTGATATGTAGGGAAACCAGCGGACTGGTATACCTATTGAGTTGAAATTGTACGAATCCATCTACAATTAGGATATATCTTCAGGGTCACGTTACATTCAACGACTGGCACTTTCCCCTCGAAGCGTGAACAGTAGAAACTATGGACTCTACTCATGATCAGAACAGGAGATGAACATTTCATCATAGGAAACTTATTGATCTGCATGACATCGTAGGTATCAGCAGGCGACACAGAGACGGCAATGGAGAATCCATTGGCCAGCCATAGCTGCCAAGATAGTTTCACATTGAGATACCGAGGAAAGGCGATGGAAGAGAGCGAGTCTTACATTATCGCTATAGCTACTCCGTGTAACAATAACCACCACAACTAGCTATACATCGCGGAAGGCATTAGGGGCATCTGTACACAACGCCTCCACCCGAATCAAAAGATAAAAGAATCCAATCCCAAAACGCCAATGGGTATCAAAAAGAAGATGTCACACAGACGCAGAACCAGCGCGAATGGCACCAGAAACCAAACTCAAACGAAGCAGCCCCGAATCTCACAAAAAGGAAACACAACATCCAAATCCCGGACCACGCCCTAAGGCTGGAACCGCAATCTAAATTGACGACCCCGCCTCTCCTCACGAACGGTATACAAGAACCGCGCAATAGTCTCTTGTTCGGACAGGCCCGCACTGTTAAAGTGTTTGCGAACTACCAGCGCGAATTGGTCCTTGCTCACGCGGTCTTGGCCGACGATGCGATGCAGCGAGGACTCGGGCTCGGCGTCTTGTGTGATTATACCGTTGCGCTCACGGGTAGATGAACGGGTGGATTGGGCGCGGCGGGCTGCGAGGGCTGTTGGGGAGCGGAGGCCGACGCCTTGAGAGAGGATGAGGCGGGAGTAGTCTGTTGAGAAGGCGGAGGGGGTGGGGAGTTTGTGGACGTGGCGGTAGGCGTGAAGGATATCGAGTGAGAGATCGGACCAGGGGACCTGTCGAGGGAACGGGGTAGTTTGTTAGCAAGGTCTTGTTCGAAGCATTGAATGCCTTTTTCTTTCCGTTCTCCCTTCTGACGTCGTCCGGTTGCCGCTCTGCCAGACTTCTCTCTCCTTTCCCCGGTCAGGGTTTGTTCGGTGCTGTACATACCCTGGGCTGTTCATCGACTGGCTGTTCAGTGGCTATGGGTGCGCTCGTCACCGAAGTCTTATCCTTGGCTGCTGCCCCGGTCTTTCGACTCTTTGGTGCGCTGGGTTTGAATTCTCGCGTGCCGCTGGAGGCTTCGGACCTCGAGTCGTCGACGAGCGCCGCGGTGCGCTGGCGCGGGGGTGCCATGGTGTCAAGGGCCCGCTGGAAAGCGTGAAAGTGACACTGAGGATATCAATGGAGGTTTAGGAGGAAGCACATAGGAGCAATGCCGTGCTCGATTGCTATACTGAGCCAAGAAGCTGGTCGCAGCGCACTGGACTCGAGCAGATTCTCCGCTTTCTAGAGCGGAAGAGGCTGGCAGAATGACCTGTCCGCATTTGGTGCGGCCGGACATTGCTCCGGAGTCGCGATAACGGCTGATAAGAGTTATCGAGGGAGATGGGAGAACCGTCCACGTTGAAGGTGATAGTGTATTGAGAAGCTCGAAAGCGTTTAGACATTAGATTTAGAGCAATTGACGTGGACGAGATATTCAGCACAAAGCATATCATACGTCATAGAATAGAGAGAGTTGCCGTCTTCTATCGTGTACTGCATGTAAATCAGGCACTCCCCAGAGTCGAGTCAGAGAGTGGACGGGTGTTTTGTGCTTTGTCATCATCTACAGCCCCTCCACATCCACCGTACGAAAGACAGCACCACCAGGTCCCGCAGTAAACAAAAAAAAAAAACCACACCGCTGGATGCGGAGAAGAGGACAAGGAAACCTCCGCACGCCGGCTAAGGGAAAAACGATGGTCTAGTGGGGGACCGTCGGACCACCGCAATCGTCTATATCCGAGTGGGGGGAAGACGCCTTCCGCGGAATTGGGGGTGCAAGATATCTAGATAAATTCTCACAAGGCAGGTAAGACGAAGGTGGGTAGTCGTACATCTAATTAGTCCATGGTAGTTTGGAGTGAACCGAGTGGAATTCGTGCATGGCTGCCGTTCAGAGTTTCCTATTTTCCTCATTCATTGGCGTTATGCCAGGGGCAAACCTCAGCGCGGGTGGCCACCGAGGAGAGGCTCGGAAGAATCTCGGGAACAGTCCACATTCTCCCAGACCGGACCAGGGGAGAGCTGAAAGCTGAGCGTGCGCCCGAGCCGGGACATTCAACGTGGTAAGAGGGTCAATTCCCCCAAGTCCCAAGTGCCAGCCAGGTGTGGAGAGAAAAGCACGACAAACGAGCCACACAGGGCCAAGTTCACGACCACGCCAGCCCGAGACTCGGCATCGCCGTGCCGAGTCAAGTCGCCGAGGGTTGTCGGGCCCGCAGCTCGGAATATCCCCATCATCTTCAAAGTGGAGGAGAAGAGAAAAAATTTGCGTGGCGGAAGCACCCCGCGGGCGTGTTAGGTAAACCTGCTAAGAAAGGCTTCACCGGTCGGCCCCTTTTTGGCCTCACGACTCTGTGAAGTATTTGCTCCGACCATCGTGAAAATTGTGATGGTGAAAATTTGCATCCCTACTCCAACCCTCCAAAACGCCCATCGTGAGATCTGCAATAGCCGGGCCCGCGATCCGTGGATGGCCTGCTTCTGAGTTGTTCTTCGCGGAAGACGACTCGTTAACCACAGTTCCTTTTGGGCCGAGTTACACTCGACGGGCCAGCCTCCACCATCATCGTGGAGACTGAAAAAAAGCCATGCTAAGCCCCGCAACCATGCCAGAATGGCACAATTGCCCCTCGACCCTCGTCTTCCGACTTTTTCCGAGTCCGTCCAGGACTCCAGGTACGGAGTACATTGCGATCGTTTCCAATCCCAGCCCTACAGGAGGTACTTGTACTCCGTACCTACTACAATGGGCTGATGGAACGAAGAGCCTGGACCGATTTGTGGTACGCTAGTCGTAGTTGCGTACCTGCAGTAGCGAGGGGTTCTTTGTCTATTCGACAGCTGGCGCCCCCGATGTCGTCATTCCGTCATCTTGGAGCGGTGCGGTATAGAGTACCGTATGCTATACTGCAAATCATCCGTGCTCTCAGCACGCAATCTCCGTGGATAACAATGACGGGCTGAGATATGTATCCTAGTGTATGACCATCGCAACGTAATTCATCTAGTAGTACTCCGTATACACCTTGAATTGCGTAGTAGCGGTCATTTCTACTCAGTTCAGCCTACATCCCGAACAGTCAACTTGTCTCTCATGCTACGCGAAATAGATTAACAGCGGGATGGAAAGACGGTCGATCATCCACGTAGCACCGATCAGACGATCATCACAGCAACGATCCGAAGACCCTGTCATTTTCAACAAGGAAATCTGGCGAGTCCACCAAATAATCATCGCATCATCTTCAGAACATCCGCACAATCAACAATATACCGGGGGCTTCGGTTCAAAAACCACCTCGGCAACAGGACCTCCGACCGGCTTCATTGCAACAGCAAGGACAAGCCAGCCAGATCCGTAGGACCATAAACTCTGAAGAAGCCACTGATGACAGGGCGCATCAATCGCGATAAGCACATGTTGCGGTCGGAGAGCCTAGCAGACACATGCGCTCGCTGCGCTGGGCCTGGCTACTGCGGAGAGACATTTGCATGTGAAAGCCCTCCCCAACCAGAAGCTCTGCTGCTAGCTCGTGGAGAACTCTGGGGGAATCTAGTTCGGGGCTCCCCTATCTAGTTAGAGAAGTGCAACTAGTTTCGTTAGTCAGGGGAAAGGGGGGAGGGGGGGGGGGAACCCTATCCGTCAAGGAAGCTGGGAGACAAAACCCCAGGATAATAGCTCGCAAAGCTCGCTATACTCGCCAGAGTATGCATGACACGTGAAAGCGAGCATGGCCAGCATGCAACCGTATCTCTATTTGCTTCTTCCCCCTTCCAATTGGGACCGGAGTTCATTCTGGATTGTGCTCAATCCCGGTTTCCTAGGCCATTGCTACGTCTAGATCCGAGTCAAAAGCCGGATTTCTGGCCTTATCAGCTCATTGTTACTGCCCCCGTGGACTAAAGTGGTGGTGGACATGGGGGAGGTGTTCATTGGTAGATAAGCGGGTGCTTGATATCACTGTGGCGGCGACCTGTCATATCTTAAAGCTATAGTTGGGAGTTCAAGCCATCTCCGTGTCTATTCGGTGGAGGACCGGGCAAATGCAAGTGCTAGTAGTAGTCTTCTCTCCGTGTGTATATTGCGTACATGATCCTTCCGGTGAGTTCAATAGTACCTACCCCATACGAACAATAGTACTCCGTAAGAGCGTGATAATTAACCGCAAGTTCGCAGGAACTTTAGGGGCTTAGCGGACCT